TAGATTCACAATATGTTAGATTCACTAAATCATGATGTTTAAAAGCATCAACATAAAAAGATATTAAATTGAATTGTCAATCTATAAATTTACTTTCTGAAAAAACGAAAGGGTAATACTTTTTTGAAATATTACATATATAATATTAATATCGATGCCATATTAACATTTAACAAAAAGAAGCCATCAACTTGAAACTAATAAAACAAAATTCAGTTTTATTAGCAATTAGTTCAGAATTCAATAACTGGGCCTAAAAGAAAATAAAGAAAAAATAAAAGCAAAAACAAAAATTAACTCTCAAATAGATCACACTATTGTTTAGACATGTAAAATGATAATACTGTGCGGTTACTAACATTCGAACCCTGATACTCGGATTGCAAGCAAGGCTCCAAACCGATGCTCTATTATCTCTTTCACGTCTCAGTTTTGCCAATGCCCAATATTATTATTGTTAATTTGTTCATAAATTTCAGGACGCTCAACGTCGTTGCACTGTCTTCGCCTCTGTTCCCAGAAAGTCGAAACCCAGAAATCAAGCTATTCTTCCCCAAACCCAGAAATCGAACGAACAGGCATCACACATAAGTTCTCCTTCCTACAGTTGTATCGACAAATTCATTCCTCGTCGGGGTTAGGGGGTGTGAAGAAGCCGGCGCCGATTAAGAGAGGATTTCGATTCGGAGATATGCAGGGGAAGAATCACACCAGGAAAGAGAACGAGTGGAAGAGGGAAGAGCGGAGCTCAACGAAATCGTAGTCCGGTCCCCGACACCGCTGGATTCTTGCAATCAGTCGACGAACTTCAATCGAATCCGACGCGGAGTGTCGATTTCGGTGGCGGCGGCCCGAATTAAGAACGCGCTGCTCTCGAGCGGAGCTGGAGTTGCCGCCGGAAGCTTCTTCTATCACTCCCCTAAAATCAACGACCGGTTTCTCATCTTCTCACCACTGGCGTTATTCTTCCTTGTCACTACTGGCCGGCGTTGATTCTTTCTTCCCGGCGTTGAGTCCGGCTGGAACCTGGAAGTAGATAGTTGACGAATTCTTCGTCAGTCACAAAACGACAAAACTTAAAATACGTTAGTAATTTCATAAAGAAATTGGCAGTTGTAAATCATTGTAAAGTTTGGGTGTTTCAAAGTTACAATTTTGAAAAAATAGTACTATAATTTATACCGTTAAATGATTGATTTGAGTAGAATGTGTCAATAAAAATTGATACGTGATTAAAATGTAAACAACAATTAATGAATGTATATAATTGTAATTATATTTAATAATAATATGTAAGTTAATTAATAATTAATTAATAAATGCGAACACAGGCGTACACCACACACCAGGTGTACGCTAGCCTTTGTCATATATATATATATCTTACGTGTTAGACACATGAAGCCACCTGTTCCTTCATTTCTTAATCTATCCATTGAACAATGATATTTGTTAGTGTGGGGTTGACTCACGATTTGTTCGTCTGATCTCGTCGGGAGGAAGAGACCTGTGAAAGAGCCGGGGTTGCCCCCCGGATTAAGCTCCGGCGATCAAGTCCGTTTAAGTTTTAGGAGAGAGTTGAGAGAATAAGGTAGAGAGATAGTCGAAAGTCGAAAGTCAGAGAGAGAAGTCATTTCCTTTGGAGGGCTTCAAGACCTTATATCCTGTAGCGGGTATCGAGTGTTGTCATTATCGATTATGCGCTCTACTACTTAGTCTGTGCACGGAGTATTTCAGTAACACCCCCAACAATTGCCCCTTGCATTTTCCATTTCACCAATATGGTTCATGTGTGTGTCCGTTAGGTTTCCTCATCATCTAGCTAACTGATGCATTGTTATTGCTTGAAAGCTCCATCTTAAAGCTATGAATGCAGTGTTATACCTAATTTTCCTTCAGCCCACAATACCATATTGGATAGGTGGAAAGACAAATGTGTGGATTGGGAAGAAACCATGAGTGGCAGGGCAGCTGCAGCGGTTGGCCTACTGCAAGTTCATGACTCGCTTTCTATAGCAAAACAACAACGCTACTGACAAATGAGCAAACTGTTAAGTCAATACTTGGTGTCTCGTCACTCTATTCAAAAGATTGCATATCCAAAAATGAAAATGTGTCACTCTCTACAGGCCCACGCCCACCTTTTAAATTCTTTTTCCTCCTTGTTGTCGACGGAAAAGAGTTTACAATGCCATTGTTTAGAGATGCTTGTGAAATCAACACCACATTGTTGCATAGACAGGAACTTGCTTGAAGGGTAGCTCTGCAAATTACATCACAGTTGGTACTTGGTACCGCAACAAGTATTGAAGCCCGTACGTGAATATCCAATTCAACGTAAGCTTCATCAAAGTGCCCATTTTTCACTCAGGAACCCAGGGAAATTTCAATAGCAACCAATTCCCTCACTAGCTTAAACCACAACGCCACAAGACTATAATATTGGCACACCAATTCAGAGAGAGCAAAACAATTCGAGTTAAAGTTTACCTTAAGCTTATTAGAGAAAGGAGTCCCCTGAAAGCGGCGCTGAAGCTCGAGCACCATGCGAGAGTCGAGCTCGACGGCGATGACGGACTTGCCGGCCTCGAGCAGCTTCTTGGTGAGATTTCCGGTACCGGGACCAATCTCGAGAATGATGTCGGTACTCTTGATGCCGGACTTCTGTACTATGCTGTCGACCAGCATAGGGTTCTTGAGGATGTGCTGGCCATTGGATTTGTGGAACGATATTCCTCCTTGGTAGTGGCACTCCGTCGGCGGCGCCTTGGTCTTCTCTTTTCTCATCTTGCCGCCCGCCGTTCTTTTACCCAACTGCCGATATGAATCTGGCTCTCAGCGAGGGATGAGTTGAACGACGGTGGCTGGTGGCGGCGGGCGAGAGGGGGACTCGAGGAAGGGATTCGCTTCTGGAAGAGGGAAGCTGGAGGAGGTATACGCACAGAAATAACTGGGCTTTCTTTAGACAAAGGCCCAGAGAGCTTCTTCTATATTTAACTGAAAGCCCAAAAGTTTGATGCACAAGTGGCGTTTCGTTGGGGAGGGTAGGCCTACGGCCGGCAAAAACGAGAAACCCGCACAAAATAGCGAAACGGGTTTCAGAAACGGGCGAAACGGCTGAGAAGGGATCTTCTTAATTTAATCGAAGGCACAAATGAACGAAACCCCCAGGAAGAGTTTGGACAGGGAGGGAGGCAGACGGCCCGGTAAAACTGGGCACTCGTAGGACAAGGGGCCCAAAGACATTTTTCTATAATTATCCGAAGGCCCAAAAAACTAGAAATGCCGCGCCGTTTCGTGAGCAGGGTAGGCCCAGTCCGGCGAAAACAGGGAAGTCTCACAGAACGAAGAAACGGGTACCAGAAACGGTCGAAACGCAAAACGTTTCGAGTCCTCAAAACCAAAATCGAAACGCGAGAAATTGACGAGAAATTGCCGAGAAAGATAAATTACCGATATTTCGCCATATTACGAGATCTCGCGATATTTATGCGATATATTGACTTTTTGCGATATATTGACCCGGTATGAATTTTCCAGTCGAAAAGCTGGAAAATTGAAGGGGAAAAGAGGGGAAAATCCCACGATTACATAAAAATACTGGTAAACAGCAGAGAAAAATATTCCAGTCACGAACTGTGCCAAGATTCTTGCATCCAATTGGGATTAATTCGATTTCGAGAATGGTTTCTTTGGCGACTGCAGATGACCTGTAGAGAAAGGAGTCCCCTGAAAGCGGCGCTGAAGCTCGAGCACCATGCGAGAGTCGAGCTCGACGGCGATGACGGACTTGCCGGCCTCGAGCAGCTTCTTGGTGAGATTTCCGGTACCGGGACCAATCTCTAGAATGATGTCGGTACTCTTGATGCCGGACTTCTGTACTATGCTGTCGACCAGCATAGGGTTCTTGAGGATGTGCTGGCCATTGGATTTGTGGAACGATATTCCTCCTTGGTAGTGGCTCGCCGTCGGCGGCGCCTTGGTCTTCTCTTTTCTCATCTTGCCGCCCGCCGTTCTTTTACCCAACTGCCGATATGAATCTGGCTCTCAGCGAGGGATGAGTTGAACGACGGTGGCTGGTGGCGGCGGGCGAGAGGGGGACTCGAGGAAGGGATTCGCTTCTGGAAGAGGGAAGCTGGAGGAGGTATACGCACAGAAAAAACTGGGCTTTCTTTAGACAAAGGCCCAGAGAGCTTCTTCTATATTTAACTGAAAGCCCAAAAGTTTGATGAACAAGTGGCGTTTCGTTGGGGAGGGTAGGCCTACGGCCGGCAAAAACGAGAAACCCGCACAAAATAGCGAAACGGGTTTCAGAAACGGGCGAAACGGCTGAGAAGGGATCTTCTTAATTCAATCGAAGGCACAAATGAACGAAACCCCCAGGAAGAGTTTGGACAGGGAGGGAGGCAGACGGCCCGGTAAAACTGGGCACTCGTAGGACAAGGGGCCCAAAGACATTTTTCTCTAATTATCCGAAGGCCCAAAGAACTAGAAATGCCGCGCCGTTTCGTGAGCAGGGTAGGCCCAGTCCGGCGAAAACAGGGAAGTCTCACAGAACGAAGAAACGGGTACCAGAAACGGTCGAAACGCAATACGTTTCGAGTCCTCAAAACCAAAATCGAAACGCGAGAAATTTACGAGAAATTGCCGAGAAAGATAAATTACCGATATTTCGCGATATTACGAGATCTCGCGATATTTATGCGATATATTGACTTTTTGCGATATATTGACCCGGTATGAATTTTCCGGTCGAAAAGCTGGAAAATTGAAGGGGAAAAGAGGGGAAAATCCGACGATTGCATAAAAATACTGGTAAACAGCAGAGAAAAATATTCCAGTCACGAACTGTGCCAAGATTCTTGCATCCAATTGGGATTAATTCGATTTCGAGAATGGTTTATTTGGCGACTGCAGAGGACTTGTACTGTGGAACTTGGGAGAATCGGAGGTTTCTGGTTCTTGTGCGATATATATGGACGATTACTGCTTTTCGCTGCGGTAAATCGTGTGGCTCCTGATGTCGTTAACCTACTGTCTTTAGTGGTTATTGCGATAAAGGTAATCTTGATGAGGCCATGAAACTATTCGAATCGATGAAGCGAAATGGGATTAGGCCTGATGTCATAATTTATAATTTACTTGCTTCTGGTTTGGCTAGATTGGATTTTACTAAAGAAGTGAAGTGCTTGTTAAACTACATGAAGGACTATGGTATTGAACCTAACAATGGAACATACACAGTGTCATCATTGAAGGGCTGTCCACTGGAGGCAAATTGGAAGATGCAGAAGCTTTTTTGGCCGAACTGGAAACCAGTGCTTGAATATCTATTGTGTCATGGTTAATGTTTACTGCTCAACAAAAGGGTCAGAGAAGGCCTTTGCTCTTTTTATTTATCTGGCTGAAAAAGGGCACTTGCTGAAGAAACGTTCTTGCTTGAAGTGGCTTTCCAGTTTGGAACATGATATCGAGAAGTGTATTCAGCTGGTTAAGAAAGTGTTAGAGCCAAGGGCTAATTATCTGAATATTGTGTGCAGCAGAGTCATAAACATGCTTTTGCATGCTGGAGAGATGGGAAAGGCCCTGAAATTATTGAAAGAAGTGAAGGCAAACGGGATTAACCCAGATGTGGTGACATACACAATGATGATGCATCTGTATTGCAGGATGGATCGCTTGAAGGGGGCCGTCAAGCTTCTCCATGATATGGAGGCCAAAGGGTTGAACCAGATGTTATCACTTATACCGTTTAGCTGAAGGGGGAATTGAAGGAAATAAGGTGCAAGACAAGTAAGAATAGGGAAATCAACAGCAGCAATGCTGTAGTAGAACCTTCTTGTACGGTAAACTAATGGGTGTATGGAGCCTTATCCTGTTTCTTATACTGTTTTGATAGACGCACGCTGCAAAGAAAATGATATGAAGGGTGCTGTGGCATTTTTCAAACAGATGATTGATAGAGGGCTACAACCCGATTAAGGACTGACTTGGTCAGATGGAGTACACTAATGTCAAGAGTCCCATTTTGTTGTAAAGAAGACAGAGGTGAATTAGTCCAATCACAGCCTAATGCAAGACTTGAGTGGTAAGAATAGTTGGGCTAAGGTAGCCCGTAGCCTTCAACACTTCTTATGGGCTGGAGTCCCACTTACTATCTGAGTGAAATGTAATTATTAATCTTTACTCATTCGTGTTTTGTTGGTTGTAATTGTAATAGGTGGTGCATTTGGTTTAGTGGCTCTTCGGACCATGTTTCTGTCGTCCCGATTGCTGTTGGGATTCGATTTTGTTAATTGATTGTGAAGTTCTTGACATGGTATCAGAGTCTAGAACCGAAAGGTCGTGTTTTCGAATCTTCACGACCCCCAGTATTAACAGTTAACTAAAAAAAAGCACAAGGTATGGTGGACCTGTGCAAACTTCAAGCCCATGGGTTGACTTTCGTTTGAGGGAGCGTGTTAGAGAGTGGTATAAGATCGAGCATAACCTTCTCCCAACAACTTGAGTTATTATGATCAATTGGTTCTTGATATTCGTCTTTATATCGAACGATTTGTATCATCTTTTCGAATGATCTAATGAGAGGAAAAAATCAAGCTAATTAATCGAAGATTATTCTATTACCCACTTGATGATTAATGACGAAGTTAAATCCTTTCTAGAAACGGTTGAGTATTGGATCTATGTGTAGAGGTGCTAAATTCCAGCCAAACCAACCAATACTTGTATTTTGGCCTAACGTGGAGTCATGCTCGAACCAACCAATTAGATTACAGGAAATTGCCGAGTCTTCCACCTCCACCCAACATCAACAAAACTCAACGTCTAACCAATTCCTATCGACTTCTCATTAATTTAGGGTTGGAGCGTATAATTTTCACCAAAATTACTCATAAATAGACTACCAAAATGTCGAGGAACAGGAATAAAAACTCCTCATTTTCTCTTGTTCTTCTCTCTTTGTTCTTCTCTCTACTTTGCTACTGTTATCCCCTTATCCTTATGCCAACATATTTTTTTAACAATATGCGAACTCCGCCTTTTTTTTTATTGCATTGCAGCTCAATGTAGGAGAATAGCAGAGAGTTAACCAATGAAAGAATTATACTCAAAATGAATAGTTGGCCTTTCCCAGTTCTTCCAGACGAAGCCAAAGAGAGCGTAAGGAAAAGAATGACCATCCAACGACACTGTATTTACGTATGCAAGTCTCTAGTAGTCAGTTCATAAACTTCTTGCTACCTCATAATTGACATTCTGACCATGCGATTCATGTCAAAACGGTATCAATTGTTGCTTATGATATTATGAACAAGAAGCACATGAATTTGAAAAAAAATTCATTCAAAATTTACTTTAATTTGAAGGATTTATGATTTGGGGATTTAGGGTTAGGGTTTAGGTTTACAATTTGGGATTTTGGGCTGGGATTCAAAATTGAAGGTTAAGGGGTTAGGGTAATGGATTGATTTGTTATGATTTTATGTCATATCATCATATTATATTGAGAGTACTAATTAAAGTTCAAAATTTGATGTATTATGGACGCTTTTAGAGTTGGGTGCACTGAGTGCACCCAAAAAAGTGAGTGCACCGAAGTAGCCACCATATATATATATATATATATATATATAGTTGTTGATTGTGAATGATTGTTAATTAACTTTCCATCAAAACTTGGGTAATTTGGTTGTTTACCGTGCTTGCTAATTTGGGACATGAAATTGACTAGACCCAATTAGTTAGTAGTGATACCATATAAAAGTAGTGGTGACTATATTGTTCTTAATTTTCTCATGAGCTCATACAAATAAATGTAAATGATAACTCTATATATGACAACTAAATAGTTAAATCTAATAGAGTTCTACATCTAAAATGAGTGAGAAAGGTATGAATAGATTTAATAGTCATATTAGGGGGTAAATACCAAGTTTGGTCACTGGGTTTACTAAAAAATGACATGTTTAGTCACTGAAAAAAATTAATATCAATTTTGGTTACTCGAATTAGTAAAATGGGCCATGTTTCGTCACTCTCCGTTAACTTTATCTGATGTGGCAGTCAACCCTAACAGTTGACCGTTAAATATCTTACGTGACAATTAAAAAATTAATAAAAAATAAATTAAATTCTTTTACTATTAACTTTCCCTTCGTGACCACGTCATCGTCGTCGCAGACAATCAGACTCGAAGCGGGCGTCTTCGGGGTTCCCACCGGAGTCTCCTTCCAAACATCATGATCAGACACCGACTCGGACTCCAAATTCCGATACCGATGAAGGACAAACTCAGCAGCGGGGACGTGGACGTGAGATGGAGGAACGGGAGGGAGTGCAGGGTGCGGCTTCCCTGCCGGCGGCGATTCTAATCCTTCAGAAGTTGACGGAGGCAGTGAGGACGGCGACCCAGGTCCAGAGGTTGTTGACGATGTCGGAAAACGAACAGGTGATGTAGTCGAACACCAGCGGGTCTAGGGCGAAATCCACCGCGTTCATGATTGAAACCCGAAAATAAATTATTGCGGTAGAGAAGGAGAAGAAGAAGAAGAAGTAGAACGGCAGAGTGAGTGAGTGGGATTTTTTGTTCTTTCCTTTTTATTGAACTAGCGTTGGGCCCGGCCCGTTGGCCGGTATAGTATAGAACCTCGACGTGTATTTTGTTTTACTTTATGTGTAATGATTTGCAACAAATCTTATGATTTTATAACTTGTACAATGTTACAATCCAAACTTGAGTATAAAATTTGCAGTAGTAATTATGTATTGATTATACATTAGGATAATATATTAGTAATGAAGCAATTAAGAAAGACAGGAGATGAGAAACACTTGAAAAGGCTTTTGTTATAAATTAAAGGGAACCCACCAATCGGCAATGACCATTTCCTGTGTTCTCCACATGATCGTTAACAGTTATGCTTAACATGTTGCATTGCATAATTACATTGTATGAAGAAAACCCCTATGATTAAACAAACTGCAAGATCATAATAAACAGAAAACAACACCCACCTAATTAGGATAAATTCACCAAGTACAATATATCGATGCTTGCTAGCCTTCAGAAGGAGAATCTTTGACTGCTATCCTATTAAAAACACCTTACCATACTAACCATAAGAAAAACCCTACCTATAAAGCTTCTACATGACACATCTTAAGAAAAACACCATACTGAAGAGTTAAGCCAGGTTAGAGGGCTTCTTGCTGATAAACCAAAGGTATGAAACCAAAAAAAATACCCTACTATAGAGTTAGGGCAGGTCATAGCCTCATATGGCGTTTTGCACTTGCCAATAAAAAGCTGAGAAAGCTTCCTACTAATTGTTCCCTTTTATCTCTATCCCGCTTTAACTGAGAGGTCCTTTACCCTAATAATAAAGCTTTCCACTCCACATCTTAGTAAAAACACTTTACTGATAAAGCTTTGTAAAGAAGTAAAGATGTTAGGAATATATATTAATAGAATAATAATAATTAGTAGTGTTAGGATTAGTAGAGTTGGGCGGCTAGATATAGTCGAATGGGTTAGGGTTAATTGTTAGGGTTTTGAGTTTATTTCCTATAAATATGTACTTTGGGATTACGTCAGAATCAATCAAGAAAAATATTAAGAAAAATCTCCTAAACCTTAGTTTATCCTCTCAATTCCTAAATTTCTATTCTCTCCTAGTCCAAGGCTTCGACCGATTCTTTATCTATTTTGTTCTTTCTTATCTAAATCCCTAATCTAAACCCTAAATCCCTATTCGTTACGATAATTGCGGGTGCCGAAGATCAGTCTCTAGAATCCTCAACAAGAGGGTTCTTTCAAAAGAACAGCTGAAATGTATAAGTAGTCATCTTAAGATTCATTCTACATTAAGCCAACAAACTAATCACGACAGCTAAGCTTCTAAAAGCTGCCACTGCAGAATCTAAAAGTTCACATATCATAAAAACAAACTATTCACGAACATCCTATTCTGTTAAACAAAATACTTAAAATAAGATTCGCAACACGACCCTTCACTGCACAAATCTTCTAGCAATACTACTGCACTTATTTGGGGTCATAGTCATCTCCATGTTTACTTTCTGCCTTGTAAAGGTTGTCCCTCCAAGATTCTCATTTCTCGGGACTTGGCTTAGTCTTGTTGGCTTCCTCCAAGATAGGAGCTGCACTTGTGTGGAGTTGACTTGCTGTCTCGCTCAATTGCTCCAATCAAATTACAGCAATAAGATAAATTGAAATGATGAAATTAATTTGGTACCCTCTTCTACTATTTGAAAGATGTGCTGCTGATATATTCGTCACTTGCCCCAAGTGGATCATGCTCCACACTAACCACAGAATACTCAGCTTGAGGGTTCAAGTAGTTAAACTCAGTCAGTTTAACATGTAATTTCAGTCTTATGTTCACAACTTGCTAGATTTGTGTAGGAATGGGTTCTTTCTTCCTCTGATTTGCTTGGAACAATACATCAATTATTACCTCAAAGAAAAACAGGCATTCATGCTCCAAAATTGCAAAATATGCTTCACCATAATCATCTTTCAAATGGAGTTTCACTATATACCTAAAGCCAATATGGAGTCATACTGAAAATGTCATGATTCTGCATCCCTATACCTTTATGTCAGCTAAATCATGATTCTTATCACATTGGAACAACAAAATTGCATACTGCAGTTTGTATGAAAACAGAATTAGGTTATGAGCAAGCTATATTCATCACCACAACAAATTCTTCGTATATAGTTCATACATCACCTCTGACTCACACAGATCCACTATATTTATTGGAACTCAACCGAGGAAAAGGATCACCCAACCATAAATTGATGCATAAAAGAATCCCTGGTTGCACAATGAAAGCAGAATCATAATGAACAAATTTGAAATACCAACTATTTACAATAAAACCCCAATGGATATTAACATAAAGCAGGAAAGTTTTATGAGAAAAACACATAATTGAAGATCATTCAAAATCCCATTATCCATTGTAATCCTTGGCTTTATCTTATCCCTCTCAGGTATGCTTTTCAAAATCACATATTGCGTCTAGGAGGAAACTTGCTAGCAGCCAAAGCTAAACGAAATGCAGAGGGAGACATACTTGGGACTGAAAGAACACACTCTATAAATCCGTCGTAACACCAAAAGGAATTTTCTTCTCCTATGAGCTAAAGTCGCAAGATGGGCCTCCATGCGGGCGAGGCGAGTTTTCAACTGGTCAATAACTAAGATTAAGAAGCATCAGAACTAAGAACAATTTATATGTACTTAAAATCATTGAAAAACTTATATGCCTCCGTTTCCCTAACAAAGACAAAATGGAACACTCCAAAATTAAATAACAATCAGGTACTATAGATTCATTTAATTTGTTACCGAGTCGTTACAAATTAAATGTATTTGCCCGTTTTGAGGTCGGGTCGTGTGTTCGTCAAGTATATGACACTAACAACTTGAACACATATAATATGTCGGGTCATATGTTCATCAATATAATTGTTTTGCCGAATAAGAATGCCCTATATTGACCTTTCAATTTTGATACCAAGAAAGTAAGAAAATAGATCGAGTTTTTTCAAGTAAAAAGCAGTCTGGAACCCGTTTGTGGGGCATTGAATTCCCCCACTATCATCCTTTATTACGATCGTACCATTCACATAAATTAATAAAACCACCATACCTCAATTGGAGCGAATTGTAACAGTGATTGCTCCTTCAAACCTTTGAACTTTATAGTTTATACAAAACGGTCACCAAAAGTTTAGTTTGTAACGACACGGTAACAAAAGTTTGAACTTGTATGAAATTGTCACTCTGTTTAATTCGTGATCGTTTTGTTCTAAGTACAAAGTTTTGTTATCGAATCGTTCCAAATTAAAGATTTGTAAATGCCTTGTACTAAGTGCAAAGGTTTGTGACCATTTATGCTAACTAGCTTAGACCCTGCCCGTTGGGCAGTTGGTTTAAGTATTTTTTTCTGTTCATCTATTATTTTAATTTATGACTATATTTGATGATATCTATACTTATATATTTAGTATTATAGAGTTCAATTCTTGAAGCGTACAAAGTAGTATAGATTTACCTTCCAATTTATGATCCAACATATTGATATAGGACATTGGTTCGTGAGAAAATGAAAAAAAAATGATAAATGGTATTCGAACTCACTTAATTTTGAATCATCACTTTGATAAAAGCTTTAACCTCTAAAATCATTCCATATTTGTTGAAGTCATCCAGCAATGTATTAAAGATGAATCAATTAGGACACATATTATTTTTTACCATCTTATTCAACATTATTACCATTTGTCTTTCAACGTTATTACCGACATAGTGATGTAGGTGAAAAGCTTGGTGATGTTTTCTCATCCGTGAATATTATATCTAGTGCTCTATATATCAAATTATCCTTTGTAGAGGCATCAATTACTGCCATGTCTAGCAACATTAGAGTGACAACCCTTTTACGTTGGAGTCATAAATCGTGGCGGAGCCAAACCTAGTAATTAGGTGTGCCCTTTTTTTAGAATATAAATTATTTTGATTGAGAATTTTACTTATAACATACCATATTTAATTATGACAATCAAATAACAATAAGAAAGCTTTATTATATTGGCAAAATACATTTACGTCACCTAAAATCGGTGGGTTCAATCTTTTCCATATGAATGCATAGCAATTTATAATCATTTTATCAAAACTTACATATGTCCCGACAGAGCCAGTGACAGAGCAAAACCCTTCTGGCTCCACCACTTGTCTTAAATGATGACATCCGGTTTATTTCCTAACTCACTATCATATCGAACAACTTTACCGTCACAATAATTTATACATAAAATTCTCAATCAAAATAATTTATATTCTAAAAAAGGACACACCTAATTACTAGGTTTGGCTCCGCCACGATTTATGACTCCAACGTAAAAGGGTTGTCACTCTAATGTTGCTAGACATGGCAGTAATTGATGCCTCTACAAAGGATAATTTGATATATAGAGCACTAGATATAATATTCACGGATGAGAAAACATCACCAAGCTTTTCACCTACATCACTATGTTGGTAATAATGTTGAAAGACAAATGGTAATAATGTTGAATAAGATGGTAAAAAATAATATGTGTCCTAATTGATTCATCTTTAATACATTGCTGGATGACTTCAACAATATGGAATGATTTTAGAGGTTAAAGCTTTTATCAAAGTGACGATTCAAAATTAAGTGAGTTCGAATACCATTTACCATTTTTTTCCTTTTCTTACGAACCAATGTCCTATATCAATATGTTGGATCATAAATTGGAAGGTAAATCTATACTACTTTGTACGCTTCAAGAATTGAACTCTATCTTAATCTTAAAATATATTAAAAGGCTTTCAGAAATAAGCCCTGTCCACGTAAGCGTTGGCGGCTTCTCCGTGAGTTTCGGTACTTATTATTTTTTTATTATTTTCTTAAACTTTCCCCAGTTGCTGCGTCTGTTAGTTTGGGAATTTGGCTTTTTAAAATTATTATTTTTAACTTCCAAGGGTGGTTGCGTCCCAATTCATTTCCAAACTTTTTTGTGGTTAAGATTAAACAATAATTTGAAAAGTTCATCCCTAAAAAAAATGAAAAGTTCAAATTTAACAACATGATTTGTGACATGTGAGAGTGGATTAATAATTACGTTTTCTGGTGAAGTTAAGAAAAAAAAATTTAATTCTTAAGCCATTTTTTTAATCTGGATATTTTTGCTGGGATATTAAAAATTATATTTTTATAAAATATATTTAGATGCACTAATAATAGATATTTACAATATACATCATACCTTTTTATTTTCATGTATATAGAATAGATTTCCTAATGCATAGAAAATGTTACAAATTTCACCTATATACAATTGTGAACATTCAGTTAAATAGTTTGTGGGAACCTTTTCACTAACCTTAGTATTTTGTTTAAAGTAATATTATAATAATAACGAATTGATAATTTAGATGTTGCCACATATATATATATATATATATGTATATATATATATATAATAAATTACGGAAAAAAATTAAAATACTACCTGCCCAAAGGGCAGGGTGTAACCTACTAATACTAAATATATAAGTATAGATATCAATTATCATCAAATATAGTCATAAATTAAAATAATAGATGAACGAAAAAAAATACTTAAACCAACTGCCCACCGGGCAGGGTCTAAGTTAGTTTATAGATAGATAGATTACCGGAAAAAATCCCAAAATACACTAGTTATTAAAAAATTTTTTCAAAATACATAAGTTATAAAAAATTTTCCAAAAGTACACAGGTTTGAGCATCATCGTTTTTGACAAACGCGGTGAAGAGTATCACCACGTTGGGAAAACATGGTGAATATTTCACCGTTTAAAAAAAAAACGGTGACGTATTCACCGTCTTAGTCTAAAACGGTGAAGGCATCACCGTTTTAAACCGAGTCGGTGAAATCATCACCGTTTTAATAAAAAATGATGAGACCATCACCGTTTTAATGGTCCACGGTGAAGTCGCTGACGTGGACACCGCGTTAGACTTCACCGTTTTAGTTAAAAACGATGAAGTATTCACCGTCTTTGTCAAACGCGGTGATGACCTTCATCGCGTTTGTCAAAAACGGTGATGCTCAAATATGTGTACTTTGGGAAATTTTTTTATAACTCATGTATTTTGAGAATTTTTTTTAAGAAGGTGTGTACAGTGGGATTTTTCCTTAGATTACCCTATATAATCGCCGCCGCAGCGCCTGGCCAGTAGCCCCCTCCGTCCGATGAATGGCCAGGCTGCGCTAGTGTTGAGAATGAAGGAGAAGGAAATTCATTCATAGCCGCTCTCCTTGGCAGCGACAACGCGAACTACAATGCCGTCGCTGGATTTTTGAGGTGATTGGCTACTGCCTTCGAGTGTTGTCGTCGTCTTCAAGGATAAGAAATAGTAAGGTGTTTCAGTTCTTAATTAGGGTTTAGTGTGACAAAAATGGAGTTGCAAATCAAGGTAGCGCAGGCTGTTCAAGTTCTGAATCACGACGCCCAGTCCTGCAACCGGGTGGCTGCTAATCAGTGGCTCGTTCAGTTTCAGCAGACCGGCTGTGCTTGGGAGGTTGCGACTTCCATCCTCACCACCGATCACCTTCACCGTCATATTCCTTCTCTGGTCTCCAATTCAGAAGTCGAGTTCTTTGCCGCCCAGATTCTGAAACGAAAGGTTCGTACCTTAATTGCTGTCCCTCTCCATTCCGTCATTTACTCTCTGTATTCAGTACGCACACACGGTTTTGTTCCATTCTCAGTCTACTTCGCTGTAGTGAGTTCTTGCAGTTAAAGCTCAAACTGTGTGGTGGCTCTTCAGAACAAGTACAACATACCTGCCCGCTGTTTCTTACTGCAAGCCGTGAACATGTTAAACTTTTACTGTAAGCCTTGAACATGCTCAACTGGTTTCCGCTCCAGTTTCCTGTTTGAAGGCTTAGCCGATAAATCAAGCTTCATTATGTTTTTCCCTAAACCCCAAAACACCCGTATAAATGGGCGAGGGATTAGTTAGTACAAAAGCCTCTCAAAGTACTCTGGCTTTGGTCTCCGATAACAACACCTCTCTCAAATGCCATACTGTCCTTTGTTTAACACCTCTCTCTTTTACTATCATTTGTTGTCTCTGACTTTTTGTTCTCTTCCTGTCTCTCACTTCCGCCCATCTTTAGTTGTCTGCCCCGCAGCAACGCCAATTTCAGGATTGGTTCTTGATTTCTTTGCGTTGCTTATGAGCTTATTCATCACATGTTGTCAAGTTTGCTTGGGATGATTGATTTTGGTCCATGATTGATTTGACATGCATGGAGTTGGCTGATATGAAATACAGAAAGGACTGATGCATGTGGTACTTTTCTGTTTACATAAGTAATCAGAACTGCCTGCTTATTGCTCCATTGTTGTCCTCATTCAGTATAAACTTGGAAGTCACACTTACATGTTACTGAATATTATTCATGCTACAGATCCATAGCGAAGGACATTACTTACAATCTGGGCCTAAACATGCTCTGCTGAATGCTCTACTTTTGGCTGCAAAAAGATTTAGTGCTGGTCCTCCCCAGGTGCTTGAACTATTCCTTTCTAAAATGCATTAGGGTTGTTGTTTCAGGGAGGATGCTATTTCTGTTCTTAAACTTTCACTAATTGAAGTCATTGTTGGCAAGTTAACAATGGGATATCCTTGTATTCTGCGTATTGATGTGTATATTCACTTTTTGAACGGGTCTTCTGCTTATTGATGTGCCTAACTGATTTGCACTTTCTGTGTTGCAGCTTTTAACACAAATATGTCTTGCACTTGCTGCCCTTATTCTTTCTTCTGTCGACGATAAGAAACCCATCGAGCAGCTATTTTACAGTCTGCAGACTCTGCAGAATGACGATGATGGTAATGTTGCTGTTTTGGAGATGCTCACTGTTCTTCCAGAAGAAGTTGCTGACACGCGAAGTACTGATAGTAGTATAAGTTTATTCCAAAGAAGCCAATATGGCCAAGAGGTTAGGTCTTTCTTTCTCTTTTCTAGCCCCTTCCTATCGCTACCTTCCATATTTCATCTCATGAATCTCAATACACTCTATTAAATCCATAAACTAAACTCTTGGAACAGCTTCTTTCACGCACTCCTATGGTACTCGAGTTTTTGCTGGAACAAACTCTGAAGAAGTACAACGGTGTTGTCCAACTACATGAGAGGGATAGGAAGATTCTTCGTTGCTTGCTAAGTTGGGTAAGACAGCACTACCATTGCTATCCACACTTTCTATTTCAGAGAATGTCTTTGTTGCTATGGACCACAGTCTTCATATAGTATTATGGCTTGAATTTCTTGTTCTCAGGTTCGAGCTGGATGCTTCTCAGATATTTCACAGGACTCATTACCGACACATCCGCTTCTTAATTTTGTCTTCAACTCTTTACAGGTAAATTACTCAAAGGTAAACTTGAAGCATTTTCAGTGTCCTTCATACCCAAAATTTTTACCTATTGTTGCAGGTTTCATCCTCATTTGATTTAGCAATTGAAGTCCTCATAGAGCTTGCAAGTCGGCATGAGGTATACCTCTTTTTAAACAAGCAACTGTGCTCCACTTAACTTATCCTTTTTTATTAAGTTATGTTAGAAAGGTCTTGTATCAATCCATGGTCTGCTAATGCTGGCAAAACTCAAAACTATAACTTTTTTCTTTGGATCATAGTGAATACATGTATACTTCATAAGGAAAATATCCTCTGAGCTTGATAGAAAAATAAGGCGGGTTATGGCACCATCAAATGAAGGCATACATTGAAGTGGAGACCAAAAGGATAGCTTCTGTGACTTTCATGCCCTTCCTTCCTCCAATATACATAGGCATCTCTTCCATATCCAAAACTGATATCTAGTATCTATTTTTCCTAAACCCTCTGTATCTCTATTGGATGATAGTGATTCATGCATAGTTATGATGTGAGACAAGTTCCATTCGTTCCCTGGTGACCGTTTACCTCAGTTTTATGTGTGAGGGAGTGAAGTTTGAACTTTGATTATGAGAAAATTAATGATTTATTAAGTGAGGGTCTTTGTCCATTTGTTGATTTGTTGTAGAAGCTTGCACAGTATTGTGTGTGGAGATAATGTGATGGTTTCAATTTTATATATGGGAGGACTGGATGGGGACACTGAATGATTGACATCTCCTATAATTTTGCCTTGTTTATGTCGTTCCAATTGGGAAAGCTTTAGAAGTAGTATAGCAAAATTTTCTGATTTTTAGCTGTTATTTGCTGGTAGAAGTGGAAAGGTTTAGCTATGGTAGCAGTTCTAAGAAACTGATCAGAGCCCTTGAAGCTCTGTCAGCTCCATCACTGTATAATATATGAGGATCTCAAGGAGTGATCTATAATATATGGTGCTGCTGAAAATATTGTTGACATATGAGATTAACTTGCCAACTTCTATGTTTCTGTTTTAGTTTTTCTCTGGCCTTCATAATTGAAAGAATGTAAAATAAATGGGCTGGTGTCAACATTGACGTGCTTTATTGTTTTCTATTATTTTACCCATAATGCGCCTGGGAATTCTTGTATGGTCTTAGTTATGTAAACTTCTGCACATGGACGGAACGAATTGGTGATTTGTCTTGTTGTGTTGCTGAAAGGCGCCCCGAATGAAAGAACTGGGTCTTTTACAATCTGTGATTGTTAGGACATGTGTGTTTTGAGGAATTATGCATTTGAAATAACCAGATTGTTTAGTTCAGTTTACTGTAAGAGTACATCCTTTGGATATTGTGATTATGAATTCAAATCTAATTTGTTGGGGTCAATGAGCAAATTTTGAGGCAGATGATTTGTAAATTCAGAATAATGAATAATATTGAAAATCGTGATCCTATTTGAAATGCATGCATTCTTAGAATACATAATCTCAAATCTCAGGTTCAATACGCCCCCAAAATCACTGACACGTGTAACTTCCATTTGTCATATTAACAACACTTCTCTGAACCACTTTTTCGGATACAAGTGCACATACCCAAATATATGCCTGTTGGATGACATAAATGGATAACCTGCTTTCTCTCTTCTCTTTAGGGACTACAACAGATTCTGTTATACAGAATTCATTTTCTTAAGGATGTGCTTCTTCTTTCTGCTATTAATAATGGGGACGAGAAAGTGATTAGTGGCCTTGCATGCTTGATGTCAGAAATTGGACAGGCGGTAACTATTTCTTGCCATTTCATTTGTTTCAACTTATGCATCCCATTCTTGACAACTAAATAATAAGGCCCCTACACGTCCTTTTTCTCGTTGGTTTACCATAGGCTCCATCTCTCATTGTTGAGGCGAGTGTTGAGGCTCTAGCGTTGGCTGATGGACTATTAAGGTAATATGTTAGATTGGGAACTTCCTAAGGATTCTGTACTTCCCAATTTTTTGTCAATATTTGTAGTGATTGCTATCAAGTAATCTAAATATGCCTTGGGTTTGTTATGTGCCTGATAATCTGCTTTGAGTTTGCTTAATGGGTGCATTACATGACTTCTAGCTGGGATATTCTTGCAATGCTATGTCATGCATTGCTACCTTCCATACCCATCAGAAATTTTTTATTGGGTCTTTAAGAGTTCCTTGTTTCATCTGTTAGGGACTGTAAGTTAATGCTACAGCAATTGACCACTATATGCTTTTGATACTTTCAGTAATTCATGTGAAAGGGTTCTTTGCATGATGCTTCTTGTTCCAGATTATGTTTTGCTGCTTCTTATCAGTTGGTTACTGCAGGTGTGTGGGATATCCAAGTGAAGACTGGGAAATTGCAGATTCAACATTGCAATTCTGGTATAAATTATGTTCTACTTATGCTTATCGCAACACTTGGTGTCCAGTGCTTGTTCAGAAATCCTATGCATGTGATTAGCTGAATATGTTCTATGGGTTATCACTGTTTTATTTATACAAGTTTTTGATTTGGATAAACCTGGGGATCAGGTTGGATTGGTGACCTTTCCATGATAGCTTGATAATAGTGCTACACACCGTTGCACCCTCTTTCCCCCCTGTGACTTGGGGAAAACAATCCGACTTGTACCCCTTCTGAGTCCCGCACAATTAGTAAATTTGCATAACCTTTCCCGATTGGGACCCGTGGATAATGGCCGCTCGTTCAATCAGAACTCCAAAAATATTTAATTGTCCCTCCATTTCTTATCCCTGTATATGAATACTATCGTTGTTTTGGATGCTGGATATGACTTTTTGCCTCTACAAAGTTTGACTTTTGTACACCACTTGGAGCTTTAGTAATGTAAAGATAATTTTTTGTTTCCGTCTCTGGCTGTCTATTGAATTCTTTTGGATAGTTTGTGTGGGACGATATGGCGAGTGTATCATGCTTCTATCTAGAGCATGACCTATCGATTGAAACATCATCACTCTATTGTGCTCATAAAAAGAATACTGAATCGTTCATCCTTCATACTGTTCTATCATACTATATAACAATGGAAATATTATTATTTGTATGATTTGTATTTAGTGAGTTGCTTTGAGACAATGCTTTTCACTGTCATGGTATTTGTAACTCTGAGCTTGTTTTACAGGTCTAGTCTTGCAAGCTATATACTTGGCCTTGATGCTAGTGGTGCGGTAGACAAGAAACATGTGGAAGCCATTTTCTCCTCCATCTTCTTAACATTGGTTGATGCACTTTTATTGCGAGCCCAGGTTTGATTTTGATCTTCAATTTCCCTTGTTTTTTTTCTTCTGTCTTTCTAGTCCTTTACCATCCTCCGCCATTAATATATGGAGGTTCTTCATCACAAAATACTTCATTAAGAATCTTAAGGCCTCTGAGAGAACTAGTAAGGAAACCTTTGTCATTTTAGTGAAATACAAAATTATTTTTATGATATTAGTCGGTTAGAATATTTTAAGAAGTTACTAGTCGGGTAGAATTATTGTTTGGTTATTATAATTAGGGGTTAGTAGAGCCGTAGAGGATGTCACCGAATTAGTGGCAAGTATTGTCATTTATCACCAGGATTGTTATTAGTTTCAGGAGTAGTTTAGTAAATTGGCATTATTATCAAGTTTGGCATACTTCTCTAAATGGTAAGGATATTTTATTTTCAATGGACTATATCGTACTCTGCTAATCTGTTCATTCTCTAGTGTTTTTGGTAGAAATTCCCACACATTCTTTCATGAAAAAAACATGCATATTAATTCTGAACATGCAAGGGATGCCTTTGGGGTGTTTATGCCAGGAAGTTAAGGGAAGGCAAAAGGGAGAACAAATATACTTATAGTGGCTGTAAGTATGTTGAGAACATTAGAGAAACTATGCAACCCAAGTATAGACTGGATTCAGTTCCGTGTTCTTTCCTTCCTCTGCTCTCCTCCTTTATACTCATACAGGTTTTGTAGGGGTGTTCAGTCTAACTATGCCAATGTATAAATGTGTCAGGTAGCCACTTACGGTATATGTAAGTGCTAACTGTTTCCATTCCCATGGAAATGATTTAACCTCAACAAACTTAAGAGTCCCGTTTGGTAATGAGGCTTCTGGCAATGGCCAATGGTTGCTTTAAGTGAATATAACTGCAGGCATAAACTATGAAATAAGGTGTATTTAGGATCAAATATTCAATTAAGTTCTTGTTTGCTATGTTCACTGTGTTGGAACTTTGGCTCTAGCAGGTTGACGAAGCAACATTTAATGACCGGAGTGGTGTTCTTGAACTACCTGATGGTCTTGTCCATTTCAGGATGAATCTTGTTGAACTTATGGTGGACATGTGTCAGCTTGTAAGACCTCCCCGATTTGTACAAAAGGTGCTTGGTTCACTTATTGGAAGCTATGCATGTAGTTTTATTTGATGACAGTAGCTAGCTTAGTACATTTATTTTTTGAATGGGATTTTAAAGGTTTGGATGATCTGCTTAATTATTCCAAGCGCCCAGATGGTTGACCTAGTAGAGAAGAAAAATAATTCCTCATTCGTGTTCCTTAGACATGTTCAGTTCCACTTGCTATGCTTTCCATTGAAATTTTGAATGGTTTACTCAGACTTGCTGCATTTTTATAGACGCTTAGTTCTTAAAATTCTAGGAAGCTTTTGAATCCAAACTATAGAAGGAACTCTCAGAGTCTTGCTTAGTGATGTACTTGACAAGCAGGTTTCTGCTTTGGAGATTGCTTTCGTATGGTTTCTCTGTTACAGTGATCTCTTCATGGTTCACCGTGATATTTTGTCAAAGAGATGGAGTTTCATAACATGTTGAATCTTTCCATGTCCACCTCATTGCTCTCACTCTTCGTGCTTCTCTGCAAATGGGATTCTTTCAAATGCATAAAGCTTTCTGATTCAGATACCTTCAGCATATAACTCAACATTCTTACTAATTATATAAATCTTTTGTAGCTCCTTTTTGGTGCCTGGCCACCAGCAAATGTACCAATTCCTTGGAAAGAGGTGGAAACTAAATTGTTTGCTCTTAATGTGGTAAGTCCAATTTATACCAATTGGTAATTTTTGGTCATGTTTTCAATTAGTTTTGCTGAGTGCCTATTATTTAGTTTTAAATTCGTAATTTTGGAGTGGATTGAATAAATTCGTAAGTTTTCAATTAGTTTTGCTCTTTCAAATGCATGAATGGAGTGGATTGAATAAGAGATGTCTCTTTTACAACAAATCAAATGCAAGGAGCATTATCACTCTAATCATGATCATATGTTCTTGCACCCAATGGCATCCCCTGACACCTCTTAATACATAATGAGAAAAATGAAGTTCTGAAAAGGGGTTAATAACTTAATATCACTCCTCCTGGCGCATAACAACACTGACACCCCTGCCTTTAGTTTTACATTTGATGTTCATACCGATGACTTTGGCTAAAGCCAAAGAGAAACCCACTACTACAAAAACTCGTTACCGTAAATGCATAGTAGAGGTGCCTCATCGTCATCTAGAAAAGTCTTGAAGTTTATGATTGACTTTGTTCTTGGTTCTGATCACCTATTCAATACTCAGGTTTGCAACCTCATCCGTTGGCCACATTTGACTGTTTTGTTTTTGATAATTTTGTTGTAAATTGAGATAATGGTATGCATCTTTATTTATATCCCAATCATTGGGTGTAGAGCTAAGCTAAATTATATCTTACCAATATATACAATGGTAAAATTACCATTAGTTTTACTTTGGTTCGGATGGACTATTCTATGAGCATATACATTTCTTATATGGAAGTGTGCTCTGTGTGGTTTATTCGTCATGTATAAATGCCTGACCTCTTTGTTTTCATTTCATATGAGCATGGAGTGTGATAAAGGAGCTCATTGTGGTTCTGCCACAGAGTTTTGGTTGGTTAAGCCCCTTGTGCATTCAGATTTTTATTTGATGTAGAATTGATCCTAATGTTGTGAATTTCCTTGTTTGGGACTTTATTTTGATGATTTGTATTCTAACTCAAAAGTGACCATGACCTACCCTTCTAGACCAGCTTAAATGATTACCACCGAATGCTTAAGGAGAATTCTGGGTCATTCTGGGTCTGGCTCTCTGGCTTTAATCTGGTACAGATAAGGTGGGCTGCCCGGTTGGCACCTTGATGGAAGTTCTAGCGGATTGTGGAATTTTATTAGTCCTTTTAATGCTAATCCTACTAGTTAATGGAGTCTAACTTCTGTCTTTACAGAGGTTTAGCTTCATGAAGGCCGGTACCACTGTAGAGGTTGCCTTGTATCACTTCCATCCATTTCACTTATGTCCCATCCTTCTTTGTTTCCCTATCTTCCATCTAGTACCTGAAGCTCACTGTGATCGCTAGTCCGTACCTGTCTATAGGCTGTGCATTTACCTAGTAAGCTGTTTCCTATCACAGTTTCGTGCTGAGGAATATTTGGTCTTCAGCGAGTATGGTTATGGAACATTCTGTACACATGCATCTGCAATTTCTCATCCTCTGTTATATGTATGGGGCATCATAAACTCTAAGTTGTTATCCTGTCTGTGATTGTGTTTCCTCCCTCAGACACGGGTGCATCCTGTTACATCCTGGCTGGCTCAATATATTCTATTTTACTTGATCTTTTATGTTCTGTAACAAGACTTCTCAAAACCTTCGCATCTGATTTCTCCCACTGCGGGTACTTGGCCATTGTTCAGACCTTTACACCTTAACTTAATATTATTATCGCAACCAACTCTGCATCACAACCATCCACAATTGTGTCAATTCTCTAATCTAATGGGATGCAATGCTTCATTTCCAGGTTTCTGAAGTAGTCTTGCTGGAAGGCCAGATGTTTGATATCTCTTCCATCATGCAATTAGTCACGATGTTATCCACTTGGCCAGTAGATGACCTCAGTGGATTCATGGGCGTGGTAAGACTGCTCTTCATGGCGAACTCTTGTAGACAGTTATCCACTTTAAAACACATGTGATATTAAGTCCAGGACATCAATAATGAGCTTTCTTCTTGTTGGCTGATTCTTGGTTTCGGTTTAGGTACGCAGATCACTAACAGATGTTGTTGGTTCCTACTCCAAGTGGATATCTGCTTCTCCAGCTAATTCCAGACCCTTGCTGTAAGGATCAGAAGCTCAATATTGAAATAACATAATATGTTGAGCATTTGTTTCACTTTCTAGCCGTGAAGAAATTGTAATGGGTGCCTTTAGTTTCTCTAGTGACCCTTATACTGTTTCAGACTTTTCCCCCCTCATTATATTTTTGTCCAGCTCCACTAGTTTGTCTCTTTATATTCATCTCTGTCCTGGTTTCTTCCTTTGTGTTTGGTTTTATACTCATTTGCAGCTTTCAGATTATTTCTTGCTGCAGGGATTTCAGAGAATCATTGTTCAACTGCTTGTACGTCTGCCCTACGTAGATTTTGTGAAGAATCTTCACCTGTAATTTATGAACCTGCGAATTTGGAAATACTTTTATGGGTAGGAGAGGTAAATGGTTCATTAAAATATACTTTACTTACTGGCTCATATCCCTTTGTGTTTCCTTCTTTACCTTATCCAAACGCATTAGATTTTTAAATTGTGACTCATGAATGGTTTGTCTCATTAGTAACCACTTATACACATGGATGTTAATGTTTGGACATGTATTTTTCTAATTGCTATGGTTCCGCATATATATCTGTAAATATATCTTCTGACTTGGAACTAGTCTTTTCTATTGTATCTTCGACAGGCCTGGCAATGTTTGTGTCGTCTAAGATAATAAAACTTTGTATGAAAATGATCTGCAAGATTATTTTTGGGTAATGTCTATTTTTTATCCAAATCCTTTTCAGATTCTTTTATATTATCCAAACCTATTAAAATACTAAGAATTAGCCAAATGTTAACTTCCAGTTAGCAATTTAGTTAGGGGTCGTTTGGATGAGGAATTCTAATGGATCAATCTGACACAATTGTCTCGTTTTGAGTCAATTGTGTCAGATTGATCCGTTTGGCAGCAGAAAATTTGGATGAAATAATTTGTGCTGGGGAATTCAGAATTGACTCATCTTGAGCCAATTACAATTGTCTGGGGTGGGGGCAGGTAATCTGAATTGACTCGTTTTAAATGACTCGTTTTGTAAAATGAAACAATTGGTCAAATTGTCTCGTTTTACAATTGATCCATCCAAACGACCCATTAGTAATATTGACTTGACAACATGCTACTTACTTGGAAGAGATACACAAAGGTCGACATTCCAAAATTTTAGTATTTTAACTCAGAAAAGAGTTACAAAATTATTAACGAAAACGTAAAAATGACTAATATTTTGATGCATTACGAAAGATTTGGCTAATTAATAGCATTTCAATAGGTTTGGATAATAGAAAAGAATATGAAAACGGTTAGGATATAAAATAGACATTGCCCATTATTTTTTAAGGACTTGATGTTGCTAGTTCGGAAAGTGCCAGAAAGTGACCCTAGGGGTGTGGTAGATCATACACGTGAGAGGTTATCTATGTTCCTTTTATGAGGTCTAGACACCTTCTTTTGTTTCTTACTTCCGTTTCCTTTTCATATCCCCTGCCTCCACTTCTATCTCAATTCATCCTTGTATGCCTGTAAACTCACTATCCAACCTTCTGTTGGTTTGTAATTGTTGATCATTTCATGTTACAGGCTTTGGAGAAGAGGCACTTACCTTTAGATGATGAAGAAGAAGTAATAAGTGCAATAAGCTCAATCCTTGGTTCCGTACCAAATGAAGAACTAAAGTACAACTTGTTGGCTAGATTGCTCTCCTCGAGCTATGATGCCTTAAGAAAACTTGTGAGTATGTTTTTCTGCCTGCGCTATGGCATTTATATTTCATTTGGTACTATAATGATGGCTAAAGAAGGAGATTCTCGTTGCAATTACCTTGTGTCCAGCAGCTGCTTCATCAGATTTGTTTCCTGAATCCTGATTTTTCTTCTAATTGAATTTTCTAACTTTCATCGGTTTGCTTGCACGAAGGAAACAAATCTATTTGGTTGTGAAGTCATCCTCTTTTTGAAGTATTTCCCTTTTAGAGTTGGTTAAAATATGCGCTGCCGGTGCTAGAAATTATCTTATTACTCAATTCAATGATTACAAGTCTTTATTTGTACTTATGCTTATGCATACTAGAAAGCATTTTCATATTTATGAATGCAAGTTGATGTTCTAATATGGATATGGATACTGTGGGGAGTTCAAACCATAAGTGTGAACCGGATGCCCTTACCTAGTATGGTGATGTGCAACCCATAAGCTTCTGGCAAGACCTCTTGTTCTCTGGCCAAGAATTCTCGGCATTCAGCTGTGGGCCTGTGGCCAGGGCGTAGAGTTCTTGCCAGAAGCTAAGGCTCCTATAAACCTCAATACCTCGTAGAGGATCAAGGATATTGGCCAAAAACCTCGGATTGAGGTCAAGGCTATGATCTGACAAAGGCACGACGAACTTTGCAGAGGTCCTAAGTCAAGAGCCAAAATCGTCAGCTGAGGTGTTGTGTGCTTTGGAGAAAAAATATGAGTGGAGGGCCTAGGACAAGGGTCCAAAAAGCCTTGGCCGAGCAAGGGATGAGGTCAGGGCCTGGAAACCCCTTGTAAGCTGTATGTTCCATGCCTGTTTGAGTCATGAGAGTAGCATCTCAAATATTTCTTTTCTGTGTCATATTGTCTTAATTTTTGTATTATCTTTCGTTCAGTGGAGTTTTGACTGTTAAAATGACATACAGATTGTTACCAAAGATGGTAAATAGTTGAATAAAGTGAAATTATCATGACAAATCCGTCCATCAGCTATGACAAACTTGTATACTATGTGTATAGGCCACATACGAACAGCATCTTGGCCGTCTTTATTCACCCTTCTTTATTCACCCTTACCACGTCAAAGGAACTCGATACACAGCTTGTCAGACTGGAACTGGGAAATTCTGTAACCTGTCAGATTTCGTAGTTGCCTATTAAAACTGATGTTTTACTATTTTGCTTACAAGCGGAAATCCCCTATGATTGTAAAGCAGAGGATACGTGATGATTGTATTTATTAACCATTGAATAACTGAACTTATCCTGTTTTTTGTCATATCCTATAGTGACCATAGCTGGCTTGTTCCTATTTGCTTTAGATGATCTCTTAAAGTGCAATTGACTATTTTTGCGGCATTTAGTTTCCCCTTGTGAAGCTACTAAGAAAGCTCCCTCTTGTTTCAGATTAATGAAGATGGTGAACATTCTTATAGACAAAATCCAGCTACTTATACTCAGCTTTTGAATGGAGCAGCGAGAGGATTACATAGGTATGTTACTTAGTCAGAAACGCTGGGCTAGTTATCTGTAATTAATTGGACAATACAATGGTTTTTCCCTGGATCGCACTGACAAATTGAATTGCTTCGGCTTCTAAGTATTTGCTTTGCATAGACCTTATCCCTAAAGTTTTTTCTTTCAGTAGAGTTGCTTTTCCTGTATGTGGTTTCATGATTGGCACAATCTGTTGTACTATTTTTCCTCGGGCCTAATCTGTTTTGCAAATTTACAGAATAGGAATTGTATTTGCTCAACTTGCAATGTCAAAACCCAATGGGCCCGCTACAGATGACCCTTCAATAAGGTTGCTACGGGTGTTCTGGCCCATGTTGGAGAAGATTTTCAGATCCGAATACATGGAAAACAGTAACTTGTCTGCGGCAGCTTGTCGTGCGCTTTCCCTTGCAATTCAATCGTCTGGTAATAGGAAGATATGTTGTATTCAAGTCTGGCACCATGTTTCTTTCTTCTCAAAGATTAGTATTTTACTGTTTCTTTGGCATTTTTGCAGGGCAACAGTTTCTAGTTCTACTGCCGAGTGTTTTAGATTGCCTGTCTACAAATTTTCTGGCCTTCCAAAATCATGAATGTTACATTAGGACAGGTAAGTCATTTGGCAACTCAGAATCATTTAAGAATAGTGACATAGACGAAACCTGAAAGGGTTAGGGTTCATAGCATGAGAAGGAAGTAGGAATGTTAGGGTTCTGTTTCAAGATAGTTGCTGGATGGCATCTCCAATCCTAGGGCAAGACTCACTTGAGAATCCACAAAAAGAAGTAGGAAAATAATCTAAATCCTCTGCATATTCTGGGATCTCTTGCAGAATCTTCCTTATATGAGAGGTACAAGCTTTGTCATAAAAGAACCTAATTCTTGAACAATCCTCATTAAGTACTATTTCCTCTATAAAGGAATTTAACTTTGCACAACATATTTCTTACAAACTCAAATGAACTAAGAAATAGAAAAGAACAAAAGAGTACCAGGTCGTTTGGATGCAGCATTTGGCTGAGTTATTTGGGCTGAAATATTGTCAAACAAAAAATGGGTTGTGGTATGTTGAATCCCGCGGCAATTGAAATGATGCATAATGAGTCAATTGAAATACCTCCTCCCCCCTAGACATTTCAATTAACTTGCTCCTTCATTCTTCAAGTGGTGAAATACCACAACATGTGAATGTTCTATCCAAACAAGACAATTAGAGTCAACACATTCCAAGCTGATTTGCCACATACCAAAATACCATAGAACCAAAATGATACATCCAAACGACCCATACAGTCCAATGAGCATTAAATTGGCATACAGTGTCTGTTTGACAGACTGTGAATTTGTGTAGTGAAAGTTCTTATTTGAGATTAAGAGACCCTGAAACAGCTCATAGAAAACCTAACGTACGGAAATTATGCCCTATCAACTAATATGCAGTGTGATATTCCTTCTACAATTCGCTTAAGTTAGGCATCTGCTTTCCTTTAGAATGTCTCGTATGAATATCAACATTTATGTATTTCTCGCTTTGATCTCGTTTAGCACTACATATTAAGTGCATCTATGATAACCAAACTATCATCATCTCTTATACACTAAACTGGGCTTAGTTGACTATCTGAATTATAAGTTGCACATGAGCCAAATCAGTGATCTTAATTTAGAGACATGTGACTGGACACATGAGAGTTTTGGTTGTCTTTCGTCAATCCAAGATGGCTTCCTGAAAGTTTAAGAATTCGCAAAGGATTGAAAAAAACCATGTCTTTTATTTAATAGTAATTGTTTGATCTTGGATGGCGTTAATGGTTGTGCATGGCCTGATCATTGTTGTTGGAGATGATTTTTTCATATATTATCAGAGTGAGCTTATAATAGCCTGGCGAGTTGCTGTACCCTCGAGTGTGTACATTTTTACCCATGGACAACAATCAATCTCTGAGATTGAAAATTTATGGGCTGCTTGAGTGTATTTACTTTGTTTGTTTTGTGTATGTTATAGTGTTGCTAGGTTGAAGGGGATAGGAAAAAGTTAAGCCAGTAACCAGTAAGCCATTTCTGTACGTTCATTTGATAATCACTTTTGGATACACATCCTTGAATGTTTAAATTAGTTTCCTAAACAAACAAAACTAGTTAATTTCATTGGGTAATAATAGATTGTAAATGACAAAGCTAGTTGTATAATGGCAGGTTTACCCAACATTAAGTGCCTATGATGTTGGTCATACTTCAGTCCAATCATGCTCGTTGCAAACTGCTGTAATGTCCATTCAAATGGATCCATCCTTAGCAGTTGCAAGAAACTTTTTGTTTGTAGAACTAGGCAGTGGCATTAAAAGTGGAAACAAACTTCAATTCACAGAACTAAACAAAACCAATGGTCTCAACATGACTAGTGTTGCGCAACTTTGTCTTTTCGTGGCTTAAAAAATCCACTGTTCTTTCCATCCTCTACATCTGTGGAAGCAGATGTCTTGCTTGCTTTGAATTTGCAGCTGAAATGCATAGTTTCTGGATGGTTCACTTAGCCGTTTTCCTAATTGTTGTTGTGATTTCCGGTGCATACAATTTGAACATGCAGCTTCCATTGTTATTGAAGAATTCAGCCATATGGAGGAGTACGGTCATCTGTTTATCAGAACCTTTGAAAGGTTTACTCAAGCAGCATCTGTTATGGGTCTGAATTCATCGTATATCTGTGACCAAGAGCCTGATTTGGTGGAAGCCTATGCAAATTTTGCATCCATGTTTGTCCGAAGCTGTCCTAAGGTTTGTCATCATCTTCTATATCAGATACTGTTTTTACTTAAATTTTATTATGTGGTTTCTTAGAGAGTTTTATGCATTATGACTACCTAAAGAGATCAATATGAATCACATGATCTTTCTCCATTCTCATTCCAGCAAGTTTTAGCTGCATCTGGGTCACTCCTTGAAATTTCATTCCAAAAGGCTGCTATATGCTGCACAGCCATGCACCGTGGATCAGCGTTGGCTGCAATATCATATTTATCATGTAAGTGCAACCTGCAGAGTTTTTGGGCTTCAAATGTGAGACTATCTGGCATATTAAAATCTTCTCTAATGATATTATTTGCCGGGGCAAATACCATCTTTCACGTTTGAGTTCCTAAAAAATCCATTTTTCACCTTAGTGTATTTTTATGTTTCCTGGTTCTTGTTGAATTGGTAGTCCCGTCTGGAAAGCACATTGGATATCCCTAAAAGACAATGGAAATAGGATAGATTACACGTCATATCTTAATCAGAAGATACCTGTAGGCCTAAAGCTGCCTTTCCTAGAAGATATTTGGAAAGCTAGCCTTATAAGGGGCTTTGAATTCGTAGTGTACCAGGCAAATCCTTGAACTTAATCATTCATGCGAAAAGAACAGGGTACTATCGAACTGGTTTGAATCTTCCTCTCTAGTTCTCATATTTCTGTATCTACTAAGGTTGTAGTTGGTTGTCGCACTTGGGCATTTATTGGTCTTAGAAGGCCGTTTTACATCATGAGGCAGACATATGTCAACTTCTCTCTACTTTCTTTGGTTTCATTTTTAATTTGCTTCCTCAATTCCTTGCCTTGGAGAAGGTACTCCAAATAGAGATAATCGCTTGATTGTATTCGAGCACTCACACTCTGAGCAATTTCATGAATCTAATGCAGATTTCAATATGCACTGAACTGGGTTACCTCTAAGGTTCACGAAATGTTTTGATATCCAGGTTGTAGTGCATTGCATAACTTATGCTTGTGAACCTCTTGAGGAGTCGAGATTAGAATGAAGTCTTCAATTCTTTTTGGCCGGCATTTTGTTTATTGAGATTTTGAAACCATTTTCATCAGTCAGACTTAATTGCACTAAGACAACTGATGGGTACGAGTTTGAGGAAATGCAGAGGACAAAGATCGGTTACAAAAATTTGTTATTGCCTTGACTGAGTGCCACCTTTCTTTTTTTGAAATTTGTCACTGAGTTTATTTAACTACATGTAAAGATTGTTCTCATTACTGTTGAATCTATATCTGTTTGTCTTTTCAAGGTTTCTTGGAGGTTACCCTTGATGTTATGCTGGAATCCATCAACTCTATGCTTGAGGGATCATATTGTTGCATTGCAATTCAGCTCATAGCTCGTAGAGGTGAAGGGCTAGTATCAAATATTGTTTATGCTTTGCTTGGTGTTTCAGCAATGTCTCGGGTAAGTTTAACATCATGAAGTATTTAAGTCTTTTTGTTGTCATCTCTAATGTAAGTATACAAGAATAGGAAAGTGTAAAAACACAGCGTGTTACTTGATTTGTTATATTAACAGAGACATGATAGTTTTGTTAAATGGTTCTGATATGATTGGCTTGCATTGGGCAACCGGGTAAAGCTCTTAGTGCCCATCACGGGTCATTTAGCATAATAGCTACACTGTAAATCAGAGACCATTTCAGTCTCCAGTAAATATTTCCACATGCAAAATGAGATGTGTAATGTGAATTGCTGGGGCCATTTCTGAGTAACATATTGGTTGATACCTGAGATGATTAGTTATTTTCCCGTATGGAGTAAGAGAGGAACTAATTCTTGATGATTCCTGCATGAAATAGGTTCACAAGTGTGCAACCGTGTTGCAACAATTGGCTGCGATTTGCAGGTGTTGTGATAGAACAATTTGGAATGCTATGCTCTGTTGGGATTCATTGCAAGGATGGCTGCATTCAGCGGTGTCTCTCTCCCCTCTCTCTCTATATATATTATTATCTAATCGATCTAATTGTTTCAGTCTATGCATATGCTGTATGTATGTGCTTAAAAGTTCTGGGCTTGACTTCTGTTAAATTAAGTAGCACCAGTGTATGTATCTTGTGTCTAGGAACTGAGCTTGAGAACTTTAGTTGATAATTTTAGCAGATGAAGTCTCCACATTAACCTGAGTTATGCTTATTTGGTGGTTTTGATTGTTAAATAAATTCCATAAGGGCTGTTATGGTCCTAGTTATCTAATCTGGTATCATAAGTGATGACTGCCTCTAGTATGGCCCTTTTAACCTTCTTCGCATCTGCTTGTCCTATGAAGTGTATGTTCTTGATAAAGAACAATGAACACTATGGTGGCCGTTTATGGAATAGTGAAATGGTCTTCTAATTGTTTGATTAATTATTTATTTATGTGTTCATTTTAATGTTGTTGAGACCAGGTGCATGGCCTTCCAGTGGAGTATCTAAAGCCAGGACAAGATGATACATTGGTTCCAGTTTGGTTGGACGCTTTGGCTGGGGCTGCAGCCGACTATCTTGACAGCAAGAGTTCCAAGGGTGTTAAGAACAATTATGGGCATATGCAAGGGAAAGGTGGAAGAGTCCTCAAGCGTATAATTCGAGAATTTGCTGATAGTCACCGCTGTGCCTTGACCCAAATTTGAGTATGTATGTCTATGGAAGCTCAGCAGTTTCATTTATGAGCCATCACCAATATTCTACATCGCTTTTCCAGCTTCCATTTTGTGTGGTTATCGGATTTGGGTAATTAGCTCTGCTGCATTTGCCCCCTTGTTTGTTTGTACAGTTGCATCTCACCAGGCTGGTTAGCTAATCAACCTTCAATATTCAATTGTGTACATCCCTCGCTTAAAAGAAAACAAGTCCGACGTAACTTTTGTCAAGGTTAATCAAAGCTTAATCGTTATCATATTTTATGCCCGGGATGTTTGTGTAGTTTGTGTATGTTTAACGGTATGTAGTCTTGAAGGAATGAACTAGGAACCAATTCGGGATGTCAGGGACGTGAAACAGTCGAGACCAAAAGGCTGGACATGGCCTCCAAGACAGAAGTGGCAACAGTCTGTCCCAGTTTCTATCAAATTTTATCTGATTTTGAGCCAAAATATTGAAGACGAGCATTATGCCAACGAACATGTGTATGGTCATATCACCTAACACGAGCCAAACATATCATCAGTGTGGGTGAGAACTGGAAGTGATGGTCAATCTAAATCGTGGCCTAAACATCATTGTGTTAGAAGCTGTATGGTATGGGCTTAGGCTTACCGTGGCCTCAAGCCCTCAACACGACCTTTCAAATTATAAAACTATGTTTGAAGATACAGTGATGTAAGTGCAACATGAGCAATATGCTTATGCTCTTGTTGATTATGATATTCTCTCTCCTAATTGACTTTCGTTTGGCCCTAACAGTGGTTGTACTACTGAGATTTGCTCCCATTATTGATCCTTTGAAAGATTTGACAAAAATTTGGAGATCAACTTACTAAATAACTTTTAAATCTTAGTGACTTGTTTTCGTTCATGGTTGACAAGTTACGACCAAAAAAGAAATTTTGGAATATTAAATGTACTCATCATGGTTGGATACTCCTTTCAATTAGGGGTTAAAGTTTGGTTTGTGATTTGTCTATAATCAATAAACCACACTAACCTGCACACACTGTAGTTATCCTCATTCACAATTTGTAGGTAGTTAGGTCTAGTTAGCAAAATTATTATTTTTGTGGTAAGTGATTAACCACTAATCACAATTGTTAATGTGCAAAACTCATTATGATCACATTGGGTTGACAATTTTTTATTTTACCTTTAAATTTCACCATACTTATCAATAATATTTATAATATAAGGAAAAATGATAAAAAAAAACCACTGCCAAAATTAAAATTTATACCGCGTGTTATGTCAAATTAATTTGCATCTTGTAAATCAAAAGCTTTCATCTATTTCTTCTCTTTGATGCAAAATTTGAATATGAAACTCGAAAAGATAAAAGCCCCACACTTAGTAGGATATACTGAATTCAATCTGCACGAACAACACAACAATACATCAATATGATTTAGGGGAGGATATCGGATTCATTGGTGGCAAAATCAGCTTCACACCTTGAAACATGAATTTTTGCGGGTAACCACAAATCTAACCATTATGATGCGGTTTGTGGTTAGCAAAATCATGCTTTTGTGATTGTGGTTAACCACACAATGTGAGGTGGGTAACCACACTCACACAAACTTCCACCCCTACTTTTAGCAACCTAGGCAAAGCTTACGGGGACAGGGTCACGCATACAAAATGACTCGTTTACTCGTATATAGACATTTGATAATGTAGATATTTTCAAATGTATTGCTTGGTTAAAAAGTTTTAAATGAGTTATTTTTCGCAAGAATCATTTGTATATTGTTACCATTTTTCCCTTACATTTAATATCTTAATAAAGCCTACCACAAAAAAATTATTTTTCAACCAACATATAACATATTATTTGGGTATTATCCATATATAATGCTACTTTTTAATTTTGAATAATACTTTTATAGCTTACCAAAAATTTCAAAATTCTAATAACAACTATAAAAAAGGGGAAAATGGAATAAGAAATTGAATTTTGATTTTTTGAATCATTTTAGAGTCAAACATAACCTATAATTGAAATCGATCTCTAGATAGTAACGACTATTTTACTATAAATAGTTGAAAAGTATTATTGAGAAATATTTTCAAAGTATTATTTGAAAACATAGCAAGGTGGATATAATTCTATAAATTATAATTAATGAGTTCTTTATATACAAATTTGATTGAATTGCGAGTTAAATTGAATGAGTTATGACCTGATTAAGAAAACTAGAGTCTTGAAAAAATAGGTTTTGTCTATTCAAAAATATATTTTCTCCTCTAGGATCTTCTAGGATGCATAAGTTACCAAGGATGGGCTCTCTGTGCCGGATTTCATACTAAGAATATCATAATCTAATATTGAAGGGTTCCCTACAAGCTATGAGGTGCTTTCAACAAGATGAAATGTAACGAAGTTAAGTCCGTTTAGCTTCGTATCATAATGAAAAATTACGTATCAGGCACTCCTTTTTATCTCTTTGGACGGAGATCTTCGCCAATATTGATGGACTCTCTTTATTGGTATTCATAATAAAAGTGTCACAAGATAGTCTCATATTATATATAATACAGGACAGTCGTTTTGTTTAACTATGGATGCATAATGCATACCAAGGTCACCCAAGGAGGAATTAATGGCTTAGAGTGGGTAGGAAGGATGGATGGATGTGGATCTACTTCCAGTTATTGGCAACGATGTCGGCAAGGTCTACAACCCGTTGGGAGTAGCCCCACTCGTTGTCATACCAAGCAATGACCTTGACCATGTCGTCGCCCATGACCATGGTCAAGGAAGAGTCGACCGTGGAGGAAACGTCGGTGCACCTGAAGTCGACGGAGACGAGGGGCTCGTCGCAAACGGAAAGGATGCCGTTGAGCTCGTTGTCGGCGCTCTCACGGAAGGCGGCGTTGACCTCCTCGGCGAAGGTCTTCTTGGAGACCTGGACGACAAGGTCGACGACGGAGACATTAGGGGTGGGGACACGGAGGGCAATCCCATTGAGCTTGCCCTTGAGGGTGGGCAGGACGAGGGCGACAGCCTTGGCGGCTCCGGTGGAGGTAGGGACAATGTTGAGGGCAGCAGCCCTGGCTCGCCTGAGGTCCCTGTGGCTGGCGTCGAGGAGGCGCTGGTCCCCTGTGTAGGAGTGGGTGGTGGTCATAGTGCCCTTGATGATACCGAATTTCTGGTCGAGCACCTTGACGAAAGGAGCCAGGCAGTTGGTGGTGCAGGAGGCGTTGCTGATGATATCCTCGTCTGGGCTGTAAGCGTCCGCGTTGACCCCGACCACGTAGGTTGGGATGTCTCCCTTCCCTGGCGCTGTGATCAGCACCTTCTTGGCCCCCGCTTGGATGTGCTTCCCTGCGCCATCCCTGTCCACGAAAACTCCTGTGCCTTCTATCACCAGGTCGATCTCCAGCTCCCTGCAGGCATCATCAAGGATTGCATATTTATTACTGTGACTATTTACTAGTACTGATATTACCTGCATATATATAATAATCAATACAACCATGCAGGATTGAAGAGAGAGTGATAGTTAGCTAGCTTACTTCCAGGGAAGGTTGGCCGGATTACGGTCTGAGACGACCTTGATGACCTTGCCGTCCACGGAGATGCCGTTATCGCCAACAGGCTTGACGTCAGCGTCGAAGATCCCGAGGGTGGAGTCGTACTTGAGGAGGTGCGAAGCCTGCTTAACGCCTCCGGTGTCGTTGATGGCAATCACGTCCAATGGCGAGTCCTTCCTCCCGTGCCAGCATCTCAAGAAGTTCCTCCCGATCCTACCGAACCCATTTATCGCTACTTTCAGTTTGGCCTCCGCTGCGCTCTTCCTGTATCCCCCGCTGCTGCTAACTCCCTGCACCGCATCCGGCGGGCCCATCATTACTGTTATTAATAGTGAGGAAATTCAATCCTACCATATTGTCTTTGAGTTATTATAAGTAATAGGAACTCTTTCAACTATAATAAGTTTTACTGATGGCATTATGTAATTAATGCGATTCATCTATCTACATTCTACACTCCATATGTAGCTCATTAATCAATTCTGTATTTGAAACATGCGTGCTTAATTATATACATATGTTAGTCTTTACCATATATTTATATATAATCTTTTTATTTTTATTTCTGTAAGTTCCGCCGATGCTGCTCATACTAGCTATTTAACCGATTTTTTTTATTTATTTGGATCCAAAAATTAGGTGCAGTGGAACATCTTTTATAGAAGAGGAAAGCTAATGTGAATATTAACTAAGGAAGGAAAAAAGTCAGAGAATGAGATGCAGAGCAGGGTAGGGTACGTAGGCAGCTTACAGCAGAGGTCTGGAAAGAAACGACTGAGAAAAAGTCATCGGACGTTTTCTTGGCGAAAGGAAGGAAAGCTGATGAGGTGCGTAGGCCTGAGAATTCGGCCAGACCCTTCCCATATCCCTGCAATCAGTGTTGGTAACTACTAGTTAACTAGTCCAGTATATAAATCACCATAAACCTAGTAATGAAATGAATATGATCTAGTAAGTGGTGATCGGTGGAGGTAGCAAAGCTGGCATATATATATATGGCATACCACAATGACTGGTATAAATAGTCATCCAAAGAGAGTATTGTTTACCTGAAGAGATGGTTTGGCTACGGCGAAAGTAGCCGAAGCCATCTGGGCAGTGAAACAGAGTGCTGGAAGAAGAGATGAGAGGGAGGATCGAGAATGTGGGATTGGTGTTCACTGGAGTCTTATGTGGGTTGGGGGTGCCGAGAGTGATATGAGCGAGTGGTTGCAAGAGAAAGGAAGTTAACTGAGTGTGGGGTTCTTGCGGGCTCGGTTTTGGTGGTGAATAATAAGAGATTGGATGAGATTGTGGATAGCCCTCTTGTTCAACGTATGGCTCTCCTCCTGCTTCCTCTCTAACCCAATCTCCTCCTTCCTCTTCTTCTTTACTTTATTTTATTCCACCTTAATACGGATTCTCCTAATAACTCTAACATATCATTATGACTATCACTTCCACATAGTAGTCCGGTAGAGTTAGTGATGCAATTTCTGATCACATGACCTGATATGTTCCCCTGTTTGTGGCGAGTATCACTCGACCCGTAATAGTGTGAGCCGAGATATGAGCAATGTAGTTAAATTTGCATTTTAAGATGAAAGTTTTTAGGTTACTAAAATGTTTTCGTTTTCATATAAAATTTTTAGTGTATAAAATCGGACTAAATTGCTCTTTAAAGTTTAAAAACTTACGCATTTACGTTTCTAGTTCACCGAAACGCTTTACGCTTTTACGCTTCTAGTTCACTAAATGAGGATTCTTTTCATGAAACTAATTATAAAAAGTATATTGTAAAGGTAAATTACCAACAATATGATACATTGAGATTAAAAGATGCATACCAGGTAGTTGAATTGTTCTCAACTTCAATAGATTAATTTAATTCACCAGCTATGCACTTCCCAAATTCATTAGCATAGAGAGAAAGGTGGCTTGTTGTTAAGACCTATGTTTATGAACTTATTGTTAAGCTACCAAGAGTTGCTCTACTTTAGACATGAATTGAAAGTATTTATTAACTTATCTAAATTCTGTGCACTCATATTTTACATAGTATATGTCATATTTAACAGTTTTTTTAGCTATTTTACAGTATGCGTAAAAAAACAGGTTTTTTGTGAATTCCGGAGGCATATAA